AAATTCGTGTCATATTAAAATGGATGAAGTTTTCCAAGTTCTAAATGAAATGGTTATTAACTTTATCTTTTAATATGGACGTGGTTTTATCTAATATTGATATTAAGTAAAATTAATAAACTGTTTCAAATAAAGTCAAGGATATATATCTAGATCGTAATAAGAGAATTATTAACACTCTTTGAAATTAATAGTTCAGTTTTACTTAGATAATGTTGCCGCCAAAGTATTAAAAAAAAGTTTTATAATAATAAAAAAATACATTAGTACATAAACTATACCGAGATTTACAATATTGTTCGCTATGACTGAATTATCTATAAAATGCATTAAACTCTAGAATTGCATAAGTTACGAGCATTTTTCAACATACTTAAGTTTGCATTATCCGTGTAGGGCTTTAAGACAATCGAATCGATTTTGTTATTTAGACAGAAAATAATAACACAATATATAAAAATAAATGGAGTTTACTTATATTTTAATAAAAATCTAAACTTTTTCTGTAAACAATTTTCTCAGTGACCAGTTAAATTATTAATTCCTGATAGAGATGTGGAATTAGAAATTCATACACTCGTCTTTTATTTTCGTCGTTTGTGTAAAAAAATTGTAGATGACAGTTACATTCGCTAATAGCCTGGCAAATAAATTGTGTGCGACTGATATGAAATAAACATTCTATAAGAATACGCCAATAACTCAAAGAATAAATAAAATAGACATTAAATAAATTATATATAACCTTTTTCTATCTATGGCTGTATAAAATAAATCAATGAGCAGATATTAAAAATAAAAAACGGAACTATTTTAGGTTTTCAAACACTAAATTTTTTTTCAAATAATTCTGTTTTTACGTTCTTTTCAATTCCAAACACTTGAGTATTTTTTCATATATAAAACATGAATCAAAACTATGAAGATTTGACAGATATACTAAAAATTAATTTAATTTGAACATTTCATTTTTAACAAAAATGTCTTCATATACCTAAGATAATATGTCATTAATTACAATATTTTCGAACCTCACGCTTCAAATCCTTACAAACAATAATCTCAATTAACAAATAATTTGAACACGTCATAATTACAGATCCACCTTTTGTTACATTCGCATCCTAGCATAGAGCACGTCAAGAACAATTATATAATATTTGCCAATTGATTAGTACGTAATACAAGCTCAAAGCATATTATAATAATCAATTGATAGCACGCCAAGCGGTAAACATAACAATAACGCCTTCAGGTTCTACGAGCCGGAACCGCATGCAGGGGAATGTGTTTCAATGTATTTAGCACGTTTATTAAAATTAAACTTGAACTAAACTTAGCTGTAACTTCGTGTGAACACTAATTATTGTATATGTTAATATAAATGATATATTTGACTATTCTGGAAAGTTTGTAAATAATGTTGTGATTCGAAATATATTATGGAATGTTTTATTTATTTTATTTATCCCTACTAATATTATAAATGCGAAAGTAACTCTGTCTGTTTGTCTGTTACACCTAAACCACTGAACTAATTTTAATGAAATTTGGTACTGAGATAGAGTTAACCTTGAGAAAGAACATAGGATAGTTATTATCCCAGACTTTTTAAAGGTTCCCTCGGAAAAGCGATATAACCGAACTCCACGCAGGCGAAGCTGCGGGCGGAAAGCTAGTAAAGAATATAAACAATGAACACAACTGAATTTAAAGCTCCGTAATTCAGTGATGAAATATAATAAAAAATAATTCAGTTCAACTATTAAAGTAATTAAATAAAGACATATTATAAAAGCTGTATGTAATAATATAATTTAATATTTCCTACGATACTTTTGTGTTAGAACTGTTAATGTTTTTAATATCATCCAACACCAATGTCGCTTTTCTATGCCAAAATATATAATACATGACAACGATTGTCTATGTATATGATTAACACTAAATAAAGCGAAAAGCGCTGAAATTATTGGTAATACATTTTGTAACTGCAGCGCTGGAAGCCTGAAATAACATAGAGCTTGCATTTTGTTCCAAGAATTTCATAAGATAATGACGAAATCCGTGATTGAAATTTGTTTTGTTTGACCCTGGGGTTGTTAAACTAGTACAAACTATATGTACTAGATATTATATATTTTTATATTATAAAGTATTGGAACTAGACCCTTTTATTCCATACTTAATTCGACGAATTCTCGTTACCCCTAAAAGCATAAATCATGAACGAAACAAATGTATGTCTTCACACCCGCCAGGGTCAATTTAAAAACAAAATGTTTGATGTACGTATTAAATTTTATAATAAACAACTTAAAAAATACTGGTGTCAATTATTTTTGACGACATTTGAAAGTTATAATTATTTTTCATGTTTGTAAATTAAATACAATTTTTTAGTTAGAATATTCAAAAACAATCATGTCTTAACCAAAGAGGTGACACAATAATAAGTTTTCCGATACTAGATTCAAAATAAAATAATATGATGGATACATGAGGCATAATTTCTAGTAAATATAATGTATTATATCTGAAGTATATACGTTTATCATAAACTGTGTAAGTTCAACAAGAGGGTGGGATCAAGCCTGACTGTGTATAAAAGCCCGCGCGCTGTCCTCCACGGCATAACGCTATACAACCTCCGTCAACCGCCCCAGCACTACCGCCCAACGTACAACAGGTTAGTTGAATATATTTATACATCCATATTACATGAAAATAAAAACATTAACATATATATATTTTTAAATATACTAATATTTAAAAAAAAATGTTTCTATAATCCTTGTTAAAAATACTATTCAATATGACATATGACAGAATTCAAATTTCGAATTTAATCTGTTAGTGCAACCTTCGCTCGATAAAAAAAAAGTAAATTCGTCAAACCACTTTTTTAAATATTTATTTTTTTAACTTTTAAATTTTGCGTCTATATTTAGATATTTATACCGATGTCGTGTGTCTTAAAATAACTTAATGAATGTTTTTAATAATTATAGAATATATTAACCCAAAATTAAATATATATCTGTAACTTTTATATTAATGTAATGTTTCCAAAAATAATATTCGACGGCTGTATGTTTATGAACTATGATATACATTCTATATATAGATTAAAAATTAGGAGTAATCAAATATGATTACTTGCTCGTGTATTTTATGAACTTCAGTAACATCGACGACACACCAAAAACAGATTCTAATACTAATAAGATTCTGTTCATTAATCTCTATTATTATTATTTTAAGAAGAAAAAAAAATGTCGTAATAGTTATAGTTAATTAAATACTTTTTGATAGTTCATTATCGTCATGTAAAGTTCATTTTGATGTCTTTCGAATAAAAGAAGCATAAATTTTTAATGTCGTAAAAATGTCATGATTCGGAACTTTTTAAAGAATGAAACTAATATTTTTCGGATTATACTTAACTATACTCTTCCGACGATTCGGTTACTTGTCAGCAACCGTGATCACGGGCAGACGAGATAACATCTCGTTTTTTTTTTTACAATAATAAAATAAGCGTAGTATAATCCGAAATATATTAGTTTTATTTAAATCTATACTCGCGAAAGTTTTAGATCTCATTTTTTAAAGAATTCGACGACATTTATACGTATTCAAAATTTATATTACATGCGCGTATATAATGGTATCGATAGAATTAACTTTACGGATAAAACGAAAAGAAGAAAAAAAAAGTCTACATTAATTTAATCTAGAAGAAAAAAAACTCTACATTAATTTTATTGATAAATAGTTAAAATTATTATTATATATATAAAAGTTAACAATGTCTTTCTGTTTCCTTTTTAACAATAGTCATAAAAGGTATTCATACTTGCAATGGGTCCGTAACGTTTGTAAGGATTCCCGTTGCAACGACAATTTCAATAAGAGACCCCACGACGTTTGCAAAGCCTTCTAATGAAGGTTATTTGTGGAATAATGTTATCACTACTTATATAAACGGATAGAATGAATCTATTCGTTATTTATAATTAAACTTAATAAATTTAAAATATACGTATATTATTTTAAATATATATCCTCTATTAGGTATCCTTATATTATAACGATAGCAATACATCTCTATCAATTTCTAATTTAAATTCTAAACATATAAGAAGTTTATAGAATTTTAATCAAACAGTAATTGCATCTCTTCTATGAGATACACCTTATTGTAATTTGATGAAACATGACAATATAAATGTCATTTCCTACAGTGGCCTACTTTCCTATAACGATCTAAAAATGAATTAATTTTCAAGGAGTTAGTTCTACGTACGTCAAATGAAACACTTTACTTCATACTTTATATTGTTTAACATATTAATTGTGATTTGAATTTCATACGTTTACGATACTTAACTTATAAACGACATATTGTATTTAATTTAAAGATTTACTTGATATTTTGATATTTGTTTCTCCATTTCGGACTTTTGATGCTGAATGCAATATTCCTTTAACAAACATCAAAGCAAGAATTGTATGCAGTAATGTCAATTTAATATTATTGCTTTCGTAAAATTTATCCATCTTTTTATACCCTCGTATTCATTGATATTTGCTTTTATATGAAGAACCTTAGAGTTTATATAAATGAAATAAATATAACTTTAAGTAATAAACATTTTTTTTTAATATATAAATTAATTAAAAATATGTCATGTGCAATCTATAAGTATATATAGTTTAAAGTATGTATAAGATATTTTATACACCTAATTGAAATTAACTTCTGACCAATCATAGAAAAAAATTATATGAAATAAATTCATTTTTTTTTGTTTTAGTTTACCGAATACTTTATATGCAGTAAAAAGTAAGATATACATATATGTATTTTTTAAGAATTAAATAAATTTTCCAATAAATTCAATTTTACACTTCGTTTTTTAAATATGCAAAATATATACGTTAAACAAGTTTTAAAGTAACTATAAATAACTTGTTTAATTTATTTACAAGGTGCAATGATGGCATTCAGAGGTCCACTGGCATTAGCCGTGGCCACGTTACTGGTCATCTGCAACGCCGACCCTCGTCAGGTATTAATTAATAATATATTAATTAATTAATTATAAAAACGCCTTCAGCTCTATTTACGAAATGTCTTAACTATTTAATCTTCCAATAATTGTCCTCGTCGAAAGGAAATTCTTGTGTAAATGTCGAAATGACGATGAGAAAATTTAACGAAGCCCTGGATTATATAGATTTGCTTAACAAAATAACTGTTGGCAATAACACTGCTTTAATTTCTTTAAATTTTAACTTCTTAAGTGTACTTAAGTATTTAGCATGAAGCCAAAATACGAAATAATGTAAACAAATTCAATGAAAATGAACAGATTTTGTTGTGTATTTTTAATGTATGTATAATATAATTTAGGAACAAGATGTTAGAGTTGGCGAGCATTCCGGAGATCGCTACAGCTTGAATGGTAAGAATCAAACCGGCTAATGTATTCAAATGCACGGATCCCCGGTATTAAGCTGCACTTGGGAATGTTTACCCTTATATACACGTTTTTTAATAAACCCCACGTCCGCGTTACCCTGTTCACATTACCCGTGATATGTTTTAAAACTCCCATTTAACCCCAGCACCATAATCGCACTATAAACTTTATTATAAACGCACTTACAAACAATATTCTGATTTTTGTTCTATCTACACAATTTATTCACGGTGATGGGATGTCGCACTCACAGATTTATATCTTCGCACATATTTATGCACCTACAATGCGTACAGTGCACTGTTATTCATATTTGCGGTAAGTACCTGCTATACTATTGCTATATTTCAGCTGGGTACTTGGTAATAATTTGACTTATTACAGATCTGAGACAGAAGGAACAAATAGAAAACTTTATGAGATTCCTGATGCAATACGAAAACTTTGACGAAAATAACGCTAGGCTCGGTATCGGAGGTACATCTATGGTGGGAAAATCTATCGATTATCCAAATGAAGCGAGAATAGGGATTGGCGGTTCATCCATGCTTGGAAGAGATCTCAGATATGGTAATGGAATGTCCAGAATTGGGGGATCAAGTATGTTGGGGCGAAGCTTAGTAGCAAAGAGATTTCTTGATCCATTAGGTGGCGGTAATTTTGTACGAAATCTTGATTCTATTGGAGGTGGAAATTTCGTTCGCAACCTGGATTCCATCGGCGGAAGCAATTTCGTTAAGAAAAATCTCGATCAGATCGGTGGACCGAATCTAGTGAAACGAAATCTCGATTCATTGGGTGGTGGTAATTTGGTTCGTAATCTAGATTCAATTGGAGGTGGAAACTTCGTCCGACACGTTGACCCGCTCGGCGGCGGAAACTTCGTTTAAACTATTACAAATTCATCATTAAAACTCCTATTATAATTTATTTAAATTAAATAATATGTGTTACATGGCAAACGATTATATTTTATTTATACATTTTATTAGAATTTTTAGTTGTCTACAGATTCAGTGAAACACTAATAAATATAGAGCAAATAAGAAATTATTGTGATCTTTTAATACTTCACCTTTAACCCTTGTTTACGAATTATTATGAATGTTGTGTAAAATAATTCAATATACTATTTCGAATGAAACAATTGCCTGTGCTATGGATGTTACTCAAAGATTTAATGTACTATAAAAAAGAGGTAAGATACTATATGCTTTTGATGTTTTTGTATGCGTTCAGCAGATGTCTTTATCACTTTTGTCCTGGTATAGGTCATAAGCTACGGAACTTGGATCCTTTGGGTGGTGGCCATTTAGTCCGCGACCTACGTGAATCTCATCGCTTCCCTTATTACCTGGCAAGGAAATACGAATACGGCAGGTATGTTATATTTCCTTAAATAAAAACATCTTTTCTTCAACAAACACCATTACAGATTACGACTACATTTGCGATTTTTAAATTAAATACGTAATAGTTTACTTTCTTAATTTAATTCAAGGAACAATTTTTTTTTACATTTACATATATGTATGAAATATTAATATCTTCATCAACTTAATAATCAAAGATTAATCTGATTCAAAGTTATTCACATTACAATAAAAGGCCTCAGGCTGTTGAAGCATGTTCTTTAACCGTACAGGCAACATATAAAATGAGTTTTACGTACTTAAACATTGTCAGTTGGTATCATTAATGCTTTTTAAAATATTATTATTTGTGAATAATTGATTAATAAATAATTTGATACAGCTTTGTCATCGAAAAACACTTCAACAAAATAGGAAAGAGGTGACAGATTATCATGTACACGTCATATTAAACATTTATTTATTGCATTCTCTCCTAGATACTTTATTATTTTCTATATCAACCCATTTTATATATTTGATAATATTTGTATATGTGTTATTTAAAAGAACTAATTTAGAAGGTTGTTATTTTAATTATGACGCTAATGGATGGTCGTACTAGAGTTTTCGTCCTTTTTTTTATACTACGAACTTTTCATAATTAAATAAGATGCTGCTAACAAAGCTTTTAGTGTTTTACTTATGAATTCATTAAATCTTTTATATACGTTGCTTAGTACGACCAACTATATTTTTTTGTGTCAGTTTCCCTTTTAATTATTTTTTTGTCAAATTTGTCAATTACATATTATTATTTATACACTATGTCGTTGTCACAGATTATAAATATTAAAAAAAAAAATAATTTATTAAGGCATGTGTACACTTATGTGACTGTAGGTCCATCGGCGGCAAGCGTGATCCTTGGTTGTTTAATTCTCCGAATGAGTACGGATATTACGGAGATGTACCAAAGCGAAATTTTGATGAGATCGACCGGTAAGTGAAACTACATTGAACTGCATATATACGTGTATGAAACATAAATTGTCGTGAATGAGCTTCTAACGGCTGACGTAAATCTTTGAACTATATTTGTTAGTTTCAAATGGTTTAAACAGTCCATAAAAGTAACGATCTATTCTAGCTACTACGATAAAATAGTCTTTCGTTCAATTTATTGAGTTATCTCAGACAATCTATCGACATTAATATACTTTTTCTTGAAGCTTGCAGGAGTATAATTGCATAATACTTGCAATATAAAGATTTTCCCTTCAACCCTTCTCTAAGGCTTGAGGCATTCGCCTATAAATGTTTAATACTTGTTTATCTTAACTCGACGGTCAACCAGGGAAATTAATTTGAGTTTAAAGCTACATTAAACTTCAGTTATAGTGTACTCCTTTGGCTATAAGGACAATTTTTACAATATTAATTTAACTAGACTTAATTTTTGTCATTTATTGGGATTGTTATAAAGTAATTTTTATATAAACGCATATAAGCGCTGCTTATAAATATTCAGTTTCCTTGTAAGTATTAAAATTTAAATAGCAAAGTTTGTTAACTTTGAACAACAAGTCGGTAGTGAGTTATACAGCGGGTTAGCTAACTACACGTTTCTAGCTAGAAATTAAGTTAAACGTGTAGTTTTCTTTAGAGTATATATAATTTAATAAGTATTCTTTTGATCAGGTTGTTCAAAATGTTTAAAATACCAACATTTTTCCAAATCTAAATTTGGTTCTCCATAATTTCATCACGTAATAAAATAAAGGACTTTCTCAAGAAATTGATACATTTATTCGAGGACCCAGTTTTTAACTTAATATTTTATATTGTGAATGAAGAATAAAATTTCGTATACGAATTTTTTTATTCAATTTCATTGTTATACATCTTTTAAGCTCAATTTCAGATGTCTATTGAATTGCCCTAAGCCAGTACAAGTCCTCTTGAAATATATTAATTTGGAAAGTTATCAAAGGCATGAACTTAAAATCGATAATCAAGGTTTGATATGATTGAGTACTTCAACTCTTTGACAATACAAACTTTATTAGAACCCTTTTTGATATACACTACTCGTTCTAAGGAAACGTATTAGTGAATTTTATTTTTCTTTCACAATTTTGTCATAGAAATACAAATTCATACTATATTATACTCTGGTATGTAAATTAGTTTATCTTCTGTAAATATGAAACTTACTCATTTCGCCAAAGGGTGTTAGTTGAAATAAAGTTTAATGAGAGCATCATAGTCGCGTTAGAATGTTTGAGTTGTTTGTGTTATGACTGTACATCATGTATGTTTATTTATACAATTACAGTCTAATTAACTAACTCAGTCTGTTGTCTAAACTTGAGTTATTTTATAAACAATATCTATTTTATGAATACATTTAAGTTTGAAATTTATTTATTTTATGCAGATCCAACTTGGACAGCTTCGTGAAGAAACGTAATTTTGACGAAATCGACCAGACATCGATGCCCTTCCCCTTCAAGAGATTCTATCACGTCTACGGTTCTAACTATCTGGATACTGCTTTGTAAGTAATTTTTTTTTTTTATTAAATCGAAACCAAAAACATGTTCATGATCAAACCAAATAACTAATTACGAGGCTAACTCAATCGTAGTAAAACAAAGAGGTATAAAAACTTTTTCATTACAGGTCCAACTTTGATAAGAAGAGGTACAGACCCGACTACCCCATGGATGAAATCGACCTCTCCCAATTTCCCATTGGCTCCAAGCGTTCCGAAATCTCCGCGATTCACCCCATGCGATAATCCCTTGAACATCAAACTTAGCGAGCAATTATTAATTTTTCCATGGCCACGTCCCTTAGTCATAATACAGCCCATCCTCGTAGTAATAAACCGGTTTTAAATCAATCAAAAACCCTATTTAGAATATTCGTAATAATAATTTGGGCTTCAATTATAAAAAAAATCTTTAATACTCGAAGTATTATATAAAATATCAGTATTATTATTTTTAATAGATATTATTAGTTAAGAGATGCTTATATTTTGAAATGTTTCGCAATTCGATATTAAAGATATTTATGAGTAGATACGTAAATTATTTTTCTCGAGATGTTTTATTATTTGTATGATATATTGTAAAACGATTATATGATTCGGAAATACCTATAATTTTAATAAAATATGTCTAAATATATGTCGTTTTTCCTTGTTCCCAAAACCAAATAAAAGCTTTTTCATTCATATGTGGTTACTGAAGTTAAAATTATTCTTGCTTGTTTATAAAGCAGGTTTTTTTATGACTGGTAGTTAGAAATTAATAATATCCTTAAGTATATTATGTATATAAATTTTATAAACAAAATTTCAAATAACAAACATAAAAGTCATTTATATGAGATTAAAATATTATTCTTCACAAACTGCAGAATGGGATTTGAAAAGAATATAAAAGGAAAGAAGCGTCTTTAAAAATTCAATGTCAATAATCGGCACTCATATAATTTTTAGTTTTAACAATTTTAAAAAGAAGCAAAAAGGATAAAAAAGAAATGAGGTTACTAGGTTACGAATAAAAAAAAATAGTTGTCCCAGCATACAGTACTGTATTTTCCCTTTATAAATACATATTCCTCTGTAAGGGCTTTTGTTTGTTAGGCACGTAAATTGAATACGAGATATTTTATTGACGGATATTGCCATTGCTCTATATTTCTTATAAATATTATACATACTCAGAATTTTGCTTCCTCCTTATTCCTAAGCCAATTATAACCGATGTAATGTTTTGTAGTCAATGATCCAAATAAATTCAAAAATGTCTGTAAGATATTTTGCATCAAGAATTTATCAAATAAACCTACAATGCTCATATTCATTTGACTTCCCTATATTATAGAAAAAATCAAAAAATAGTAGTTTTTTTAAATATATTTAAGGTGACAATGGTTTCATCAAGATCCTACATTAAATAAGCTTAAATTAAAAAATTAAAACCAATAACGTAGTAAAGTAATTTTTACAGGACTAACTATTTTATGTCCACTCCTATCATTTAGATAAAAGGAATAAAAAAATCAAATAATATTTAACTACTTAAATATAGGGCAAACTGAGTTAGCATAAAAGAGACTCCAAAGGTAATTTGACGAAATATGTATACATTTTGAACCTGAAATAAAGACACAACAATATCACGAAAGCCTCAAAAAGTGATTTTTTTTAGTGTTTTCGCGTAATATGAAAACGGTGTCAGAAAATTCAGTTGCCCAAGGCAAGTTGGCCAAACCAATCTGGAGTACAAACAGCTTACCATAAGCAATAAGTTATTTGATGAATAAACACTGAGAACGCTTTTACAGAGTTGAAAACGAGACGGAAATGCAAAATGATTTTAGTTTTAACGTCAGCAAACAAAAGTGAGGCCGGTTTGCTTTTTAATTAGTTTCGTATTGACAAACTTTCAAACATCCAGGAACATGTCCAGTTGTAAAACTACGAATTTAATGCGTCGGTGTGAATAGAACGTGAAGTGTATGGAACGCGATGAATCTCGCTTTTGAGTAATTAAAGTTAGCTCATGAGATTAAAGTTAGTTCAAAATGAATTAAACTTGTCGACGACACTTAATTTATTATTATAAAGTCTCCGTCACTAATCTTCTATTTTATCTATTTCTAACGTCAATAAAATCAATAGCTACTTCCTCTAATAATCTGAATGTTATTTGGAAAAAAAGAACCTTTCCCGCTTTAGACGCAAATGTTTATGAATTTTCGAAAATAACAATAGTAGACAAAAATTTGAATATTTTATATAAGTATCTAATTACGAAATATGTACAGTTCATTTCAATTTACTCTCTTCAATCAGGATTATCTCCAATGATATTATTCTTTTGAATGAATATTGACAGAGTCGTCTTTATAAAAACGTTTGTTTTTATTAGCTTATTTTAAATTAGCTTTAGTACAGAATACAATTCCAACTAAGTATGAAAATATAATAAATATGATTCGGTTTAAGTCATAGTCGTTTAAAAACAAAGATTTATGTATTTTTTTAACATATACCTGCATTATACAAATATTATAATATGGAATATAATAATAACGTGATTAATAATTTAGATCTAAATATAATAGACTCGTGAATTAAGGTGTCCATGGCATTGAAATAATTAAAAAGAAGAAGGTTTCAAGATTCAACAACATATTTAACTTTGTAAATAGAACTAAGTTATGTGTTATGTTTTAAACTGTATGCCATTTTAATACATATCACCAGAAAAATTTACTCAGATAATTATGATTATGATAATACATAAGTTGTAATATAAATATCAAGTTTAAAATAGTACACTGAATTCACATTTTTCAGTGGAACCAAACATTTTACGAGTACATTTGTTATGCTAAATCCTTTATTTCCTCAACATTCTGCTGTAAAGTTTATTATTTTAATACCAAGTGTCGAAGTGTATTTAAACTTAAAAACAATGTAATGATCGCTTTCTTTAAAGATTGCCTTTAGAAGATTATTCTATATGTATAAATATTTATTATTCTCTTTCTCTTGGATTACAGAAAGTATTTAAGTCCCTTTGCTTTGAGTCATTACTTAATTATTTCTTAATGTTTAAGGCTAAACACTAATATATGTATTTGTTAATCAGTAAATAACTCATTTTAATAGTGAACGTTATCGTTTATAAAAAAATAGAAGTAAAACATCTGTAATATTAATATTCGTGTTTTAAAAACAGCGGGAGCTAGTACTTATGATGAAAAAATTAAAACAACAAGAAATTGTTTTACATAAAGCTAATGAGTATATCATTGACGAAATTAAATTATTATTATTATTTAATCGTGATTAAACTGAAAATCTTTTTTTAAACGTAAAATAAAATAGTAAATAATAGTAAATTGACGTATTGTATAGTATTTTTCACACATAGTTCTATATTAAATGTAGTCAAGAAAATTTTAGCTATTGCTTTACGATTAAAAAATGGACTACAACTTAATATATATTTAACAAAACTCCCATAATAAGGACATCAGTTGAGAGTAAGAAGTAAATAAACGATTTTATAATTGTAACAACATACATGTACTTCATTAAGCTTTTAATAAAAACTGCTACCGAATACTATATTGCACTGATAGCGGGAAATTTGTTTACCTGATATTAGATTATAAGGGTGCCGTCCCCTAATAGAACCTAATAAAACTGACCATTCGAAATTAAATTAAAAACTTCCACATCACTTTCACATTCCTAGAACATGGATCAATGACGTACAATATAGCGTTATAGTGTAATCTGAAGTACTTATCCCTACTAATATTATAATTGCAAAAGTAACTCCGTCTGTGTGTTTGTTACGTTTTCACGCCTAAAGCACTGAACTGATTTTAATGAAATTTGGTACTGAGATGGAGTTGACCTTGAGAAAGAACATAGGATAGTTTTTATCCCAGACTTTTGAAAGGTTCTCTTGGAAACGCGATATAACCGAACTACACGCGGGCAAAGCTGCGGGCGGAAAGCTAATATAATTATATTTATATATTTTTTAATAAGACATTGATGGCTACACATAGAAAAATATAAAAGCCATACTATTACTATAAAATCGCATCAGTATATTGATGTTAGAATTTAGATTGTCCTCAAAAAAAGGTCGTTTTGAACAGAGTAAAAAGATGAAATGATGGATAGCCTTTTTCATTGTAAGCGTAGTACAATTGTCGCAATTTCTCGAACATATCCATTGTATTCCGACATATATACTGGTCCTAGAAATATATAAAGCAAAGATTCTGTAACCATATAAATTAAAATTGCCTCAAAAAAACAGTAATAATATGAATAAAATTCGTATTGTAGCCTAAAGGCGGGCTTTTAATACAGAATTTTATTGCATTACGTGTTCTGATGCTACAAAAGAGTCGGTAAAATGTTTCAACGAACGTAACGAAATGTATTGATTAAATTACTCCACCCGGGATGAATTTATATTCTGGTGATTTTTTTAAGAAACCACTGAGATATATAATATTTCGAAGTCTATATCGATTCAATGAAAATCGTATCAAATACTACATATGTAAATACTAAGCAACTAAAAAAAGGCAAATTTTCGTATAAATAATTTGATGAATGGGTATAGTTTACGCAAATATTGCTGCATAATGAAATAACAGTGACCTCCTAAGTAAAAAATAGTTATAATATGAAATAGAGTTGTAAGAAAACATACATATGTACTCATATTTATATATACATTTTAATACTATGGCTTCATTCGCTCTGGAATCGTGAACATATTTTTTTTATCTGATTCAAAGAAAAAGATTTCAAACTTAGAATCCGTAAATAAACATGTCATAGAAATGCAGTTTTATTAATGTCGATTGCAGACTCTTTTGATTTTTTTTTCTTCAATATTTTTTTATTGAATTGTTGACTCAGTTAAATTCACATTAATGTCTCCTGTTTATATGAATCTTAATCGTAATTTAAAAGTTATTTTGTGTCATTTAATCTATAAAAAGCAATTACTCTGCCAAAATATTAAAGAATTCACTATTTTAAAAAACCATAGACAAATATACGATCCCAAAAAGGGTAGAATCCGCAGTTCGCACCCGCATTTATTTCAAAGAGACTAAAAGAGCAGAAAGCAACCTTAATTAGATTTGTTATCCTTTTTTCACTTATCCTCTTGATGCTTTTACAACAGTACACGTGATCGGGGAACTTAATTTAAATGAATCGTGCTAAGAGAATAGTTGCCATTATTAATATTGTATACAACTTTTATATTTTAAGATTGATTACTTATTATCTTTTTTTTTCTTTGCAAAATATTCAAATATTTGCTGGTAAAATATATGGCACGTATAAGTCAATAATAACTCCGTATTTCCTTTCTTGCCAACAATAATGTTATGTGTGATGTGGGTATCAAAAATTCAATACATGCAAAATTCTATGAGTAAATATTATTGACGGGTATAATTTTTGCGAAGCTCGTGTGTTTTAAGGCGCTTTACTAAGCCAGAAATATTTTTTATATCAGAAATTATGGAACAATTTCTACTTATAAGGATTTTGCAAGTAAGTAAAGATTACTTATGGCACACTAAATAAAACCTATTGCCTATCATATTATCATGCATTATGCCTTTATCGCTTTCATGAGCTTAAAGAAAGTAATATGATCTAGGGTTGGACTCAAATAAACTGCTTTTTTAGACGCAAACTGGCCCAATAATTAGCTGGAGTTATTCAGGATTTATTTCCAAAAATGCAAATAACTTCATAAATACTAATCCAGTAACAACCATTATTAGGTATACAAGAGAATCCTTTATACTAAAGAAATATTCACTAATATCAAAATAAATCACAAAGATTTATTAAAAAATGTATATATAGATTTATGTAAATAAGAAATAAAAAGAACAAATTGTATAACACAAAAGAATAGTACCTACAATAAAGATACAAATAAACGTTCTATTAAAACATAAAAACAACATCAAAACGCATTTAGCATTTAAGAAGCAAACGTATTGCGTTGTTAACATGTTATAAATACATTGTTATAACGTTCAGTGTCTACGACTTGCACATACTATGAACATTGAACATTTTATGACTTCTAACGTATGTTAAATGTTAGCATTTCACGTCCAACTACGAGTTTAATCGACAAAGTAACTAATGACAGTAAATTACTTATAAATCTTCGTAATATTTTTCTTATAAACATAATTAACGTATCCTTAGTTGATAATTTCGACCAAATAAGTTTTATTTCAAGATATTTAAGTAGTAAGTACTAGTCGGCATCGTCAAATTAATACGTACCTACAGTTTGCGAATTATTTATCATAATCATGTAAACTTGTGTAGTTTGACGACGCTAACTTGTGAATAAAGACGGATCTCCGAACACTTGTACTTAGAGACGTTTATTATATTAAATAATATTTGAAATAAGTTTATAATATATCTTTAGACAACTTGCAAATTATAAACCGTAGATATACATAGTGATTTTTTTAAGCGCAATTTCTTTCAGGTTTGAAATGTTTGCTCACAACACGAATACAGAATTACTATAGGCGCGATTTTAAAACTTACTTAAATATTTTATTTAAAGTTTAAATACACAAAATAAATTTGATATATTTTTTTAACTAAGCTAATAAATAATTAAAAGGTTATTAAAGAAGCAGGTAAAATATATTTGACTTATTTCTTATAATATTTATTCATATAACACTTTATGTGATATTTTTGATATAAAATATAATCATTCAAGGTCAGAAATAAATCAAAGGAGAGGTAGGTAAGTTATAAAAAAATTATCACTATTCACTCCCAAACATTATGTCCTTTCCGCAAATGACCATTAAAATGCTTTTTATTTTTTTGATAATGTCATTTTTATTACACTTTTGTTTGATATTAGTTCTTTTTTGAAATAAAATTATTAAATGTTAAAACCGGTTCGTCTCATTAGACATTTTGATTTTGAAAAATATTTGCGAAGAATTAATCACTAGCTAGCTTTAGCAATAGATAAATTACTTTATGTTACATGCTTACTTTATATGAGTAGTAATTTAGTAAACAATTAATTATGTAAGATTTTTTTTAGTTAAAATATATTTTTTACAACCTGTTGTTAGCGGATGTCTGTATGTTAAACATTTTTTTGAGACAAGTTGTTACTTTATGAGGTTTCGTTAGATTTCTTGAAGATTTCATAAGTTCCTGACTTAGTGGCAAAGAACTACTTCACGATAATACGGTTGGATTAAGAATCGGCCTTTACTTGAAAGAGGAATAACGTAACAAAATACTTATTTTTATTAGAAGTTGACTAAAAGCTAATTACGGTGGTAGAGCCTAGCTGTGGTCAAGTTACTACAGCTCGAACATGAGCTGGCGCGACCGGTGAAGTATCACCCTCTCACAGAAGATAGGCGTGAAGTAGCCTTTAATGATTGCGTTTCGTTTGGTGAGTGGGAGAACCGGTAACCTTTTCCTTTTTCCCACACTTTTCTTTCCCTCTGCCATAACAAAGGTCGACAACGCTTCCTCAACATCCCTTATATTGCAGATGTCCATAGACGATGGTAACTATCTTCCACCAAATAGGTTGTTTGCTCGCTTGCAACCTTAGATATATAAAAAAATCACTTCTCATGACATTTCCTATCTGCGAGTGTATTTTTCATTAAACTCGGTGTATCTTATATAACGAGTAAATAAAAAGAACTATATTTACGTAATGCAATTCTGATGCGGGTATTGTTGTATACAGGGTGACTGGTGAATTACTATCGATATTTGAGGACGTGATATTTGACGATCATATATGACAAAATAAAAATTAATATAACATAAATATTAATAAACTTCTAAGTAAAGTTAACCAAAAGTTATGTAATTAATTACGCATCGTATGAACACCCTGCAGATTAGGTATACACACACACACACACTCGCGCGCGGCGGCGTGTTGTTGTATCAGCACGCGGCCGCACGCGTCCACTCTTGGAACACTTGGAACGTGTACACACTTTATTTATTTATACGGAAATTTGGTCAAAAATTAAGTACCTATTTTTTTTACATAATTCGAATGAGAATCATGTACTGAGTATGCTCCTTAAATATTGATAGTAATTCACCTGTCACCCTGTATAATGCTGTTAATTAAAAACAAACACTTCAATTTTATTTATTACTATAGATTTTTTATTACTATTACTATTTATTTGTATCCATACACATTTACTTCCGTAAATACTTATCCAATATATTGTGGAAGTACTCATGTTAATATATTAAAATCGACCAAATATTCCATTTAGTTTTTGTTTGTTTTTAAACTTCATAATAAACAAAATAAAGTTCATAATAATTTACGTTTAGCAAAACCAACTTTTAATTGGCAGCATTTCGGTGCACATCAACAAATTGAATTCCTTTCCATGTTGTTTTTTAACTTTAATTAAATATACTTTAATGAAAAAAAAATTATTAAGAAAAATATATTTTCGCCATTCTCTTTCTGAGGATTAATAGTCCCGAAATCAGTCATTAAATGTTTTAAATTCAAACAAAAATTGCTTATTATTATATAATGTTACATTACATGTGTAATTAACAAGCCTCTTGAAATTGAACAAAACGATAAAAATAATTAACAGCTTTGTGTATGTATTGTTTATTATATTACCAACCATATTACAATCTTTTTTCGTTTTATAAACAAGTTGTTTAATTATTTTATAAGAATTTTTACTCGTAGTTATCCACATTAAACTTTGATATTTTTCCGGAAACTAGGGCTTTTACAAACATTCATAAATTCGCCGATATTCATGTTCAAAAAGCAATGTGTACTGGTTTCCAGATGTTTAAGCCACATACTTAGTCTTTTCTATAGATATCATTCCCTCTACTAGGGACTAGTACTTCTGGCATCTTTATAACTAAATTAGAAGTTTTGGAGAGACTCATTGAAAATATAGTTACTTCTATTTTTTTATGACTCCTTTCAAATGAAACAAACATTATTATTTTTTTATTTCAGTTGAAACTGAATTCTTATATTTAGATGGTAAATTTTGTTTTAAATTACATATTACGTTATGTATTTCTTGTTTCACGATTATGAGTCTTGTGATTATGATGTGACATTTAGAAATGCAAATCGATAAAAAAAAACTACACTTAAGGAACAGACACCTATTGTAATAACTATTCACGTATAGATAACGCATAGAAAGAGTGAATCAATATTTTTATTATAATAGTATCAAAATCTTAACATTTCAATAAATCCATTGTTAAAAGTAAAATAATGCAGGTAATTCGTAAAACAAATTATAGTTTGTCTTGATATCAATATTTTCAAAAAGTATTTATTTAATCATGTTAAGAATCAATTTATATATGTATTCCATTTATACTTGCACTCTTAATTATTTACTTATTCAATATTATGAGGGATAAAATATTAAATGATATTTCAGAAAACAAAACGTAATGTTCATTAATATTCTAAGGATTTTAATAAAACAAATTGTTACCTTTGTTTAAATAAATTAACTTTACGGTTGTCTTATTTCCGAACGCACTATATTGACTCAAAAAGTGGGAGCAATTGTGTAATTAAACCCGTCTAAAAACATTGAACGCGTTTCTTCATTCGAAACTACCCAGTCACCTAACTTCGCAATTTTGTAGAGTAATATCGAATCACAAATGGCATCGTATGAATGAAATTGACAATTTGACAGTTTGATTTCACTAGCAACTAGCAAGTAATATAATTGCAGGGGATTATGAGATTCTATTTCTGTGTATGAAATTTAGTGTAAATTTGTAATTAATTCAAACAAATATATAGTTTTAACCTTAATTTACTTATTAATTCTTAATTTATATACTTATTTAATTTGTAGCGATTTTATCTTGTATATAGTAGACATTGGTTCGTGTTATCAATTTTGTTTGTTGTTAAAGTGGATAAAGTTGTTCTAAAGATGACAGAAAATAAGGCTTTAGTGATGGCGAATGTAAAAGGACAATTAGATAAATCTAAAGAACTCCAAAAAGAAATACTTATGGAAAAACTTCGATCGAAAACGTCACAGTATAAAAATTTAAGTGAAACTTCCAAAGCTGTTCGTATGGCTTTATTGGTAAGTTGGCTTCTTATGCTTACATTGTTGATAAAACAAATTAATTAACGTCATTAATCTTAGTACTATTAAATAAAATGACCATGGATACTTGAGTATATATTCTCATAATTATTAGACAAATTTTGAATGGTGTAGTTATTCTTTCAACAAGAATTAATTATTTGTTTCAATGTTGCTAACACAATTCATTTCAAAGATTTACTTCCAATGAAATTGCATAGAATGTGTTATGATTTCTATTGAACACTCATTACCATATGGAATGGTCATTTCTAGGAAACAACACACATTGCAAGCTAGACTTAAGACTTTCATTATTATAATTATACTTCATCAATCATTATAAAATAAACATTAAACAAATAAAATAAGTATGCAAAGATAGTTGTTGAATTAATTATAAGAATTAAACTAAATCCAATCACAAAAATTATGTAAATTAATGTAACTAGACTCGTTATATAAATATTATATTTGTCGAAGCATTTTCTAATTATATTTAGTTAAACCTAAATATAAACATACATTTGCTCACACTATTTTTCATGCCGATTTTTAATGTAAGATGTTATAATCATTACTTTCAGGATAAAAGATGGGCAGTGGACAATGCAGATCGTATGATTCTACAGAAGTGCTTGGATAGCTTACAACATTGTATTAAAGTCAGTTCCCTACAAAGCCTTATTGAAAGACTGGAGTGTCTGTCAAGACAGCTCGGGTAAAAAATATCCTTTAATATATCTTAAACATTATCATATTGATGTACATGATTAAATTAAAGTTTGAAAGTAATGTATAGAATTATAAATTAATTATCAGATGCTCGATGACATTTAGAAAATTGGAATGCAATATTCTACACATTTCTGGGTTAAATCCTTCACATGTCAATTATTTCTCCGTAGTTTTACTAATAGTTGTGATTACATAACAAAAAATGTGATTATATACAGAATTTAATTATCAAAGTGATAGAGATGTACTGGTGTTACTTTTCAGACTGAAATTTGTTGTGGGAACGTCAGGTGTTAACTTATTTATATCATCAGATATGTTTTATTTGGAAATATTAGTTGAATCATCGGGCTCTGTGAAAGATGTTAAAATACATCATGAAGGCAAGGTTGGTAGATAAATTATGAATCTAATTGATAGTATATTGAGGATGGCTTTTACTAGCAAATTTTAAAGATATACATTTGTATTGAGTTTGTAATTTTTTTTGTATGTTAGATTGAGCAGCAAAGTTGTGAAGAACTGGTGCAGTGTATATCTCGCGGTGACTTCGCCGACTTCACGGCACAACTGGAAGGACTGACAGCAGTTTATCAGTTGAATGCTGAAAAGAAAGTAAGCCTACAATAATATACTTCATAAAGTTTTGATTTCAAACTAGGATTTTTAGAAATTAGAATTAATAATAATTTGTATATTTTGGATATCAATTTGTCTTAATTTTGTTTAAAGGTAAAATGTAAAGCATTCAGTGCTCTTCAAAGTTTAGAGGAAGATTTATGTACATTGAGGCAGTTGCAAAGTTTCATTAAAGATCCATGGGCACAGGTCCATAAAAGTCCTATAGGTTTTTTACAGAGAAGGAGAGGAGGTATGAAATCAGATATCAATACTTATTTTTGAGAAAGTTGTCAAATAATTTTTCTATTATATATTGATGTTTATAAAGAAGTTTCTATGATACAGGTCATGCACTACGTCTCACATACTTTGTATCACCATATGAGCTTCTGGATAAAGAAAAAGGTCTGCAGCCCTTGACTGTTGATTTACTAACTTCTGGTAAACCATCTTCATCAAGCGGATTGGCTTCACTTGTGTCACCATCGCATACACCTATCGGACACTCAGCCACAGTACTCTTAGAAGGTTCTGCGGCAAATAAGCTCCAACTATCACCGATCATTGCCGGTGGACAGCGACCAGGGAAAGGGTAAGTTGAATCAATAGCATACTTTGTTATATTTCATCCTCTTCTTCTACCTGGCAATTTCCCAGCTATAGCCAGGGTCTGCCTTACATGTTGTGAATAGTTTTGGCTATTTGTTTTTACGACCGGCCGCCTGCCTGACATCAACCCTCTTAGGGAATCAACATTAGCCAGTGATGTCTAAATACTCTTAGAAAGTACATATGACTTGGAAAAATCACATTGTTATACATATTTCATATAGAATCTTAATTAAGTTTCTCTTCTAGGAATGGTCCTGTGTATGCACAGCTTGTTCCACAGAATAGTGCTATGTTACCAGCATGTTTCACTCTTAAACTGTCTCAACCGACTCCTATGTGTGCTGGTCTTGCCAAATTGATACATGCAACTACAGACGTAAGTTTTATATATATAATATATGAGTATTAAAGATTTGTGAAGTTTCCTAGTGATATAATAATGTTCCAATTTCAGGTTGAAGTTGCTGGTGATTGGGCTAACGCTAAGCCTATGTTGGGTCTAGTGGCCCAACAAGCTTATAATAAACTTGCTCCCGGTAAAACAGTTGAACTAAATCTCAGCAAAGGACTTTTTGTCGTAAGTTATTATTTAACTCCAATTTATTTTAACAATTTTTGTATTACAAAACATTGCAAATTATTGCACAATAAATATTAATAATAATACTGACATAGAAAATAAATATACAGGGTGACTGGTGAATTACTATCAATATTTAAGGAGAATACTCAGTACATGATTCTCATTCGAATTATGTAAAAAAAATAGGTACTTAATTTTTGACCAAATTTCCATATAAATAAATAAAGTGTGGACACGTTCCAAGTGTTCCAAGTGTGGACGCGTGCGGCGGCGTGCTGATACAACACCACGCTGCCGCACGCGCGTGTGTGTGTGTGTGTGTGTATACCTCATCTGTAGGGTGTTCACACGATGCGTAATTAATTACATAACTTTTGGTTAACTTTACTTAGAAGTTTATTAATATTTATGTTATATTAATTTTTATTTTATCATATATGATCGTGAAATATCACGTCCTCAAGTATCGATAATAATTCACCAGTCACCCTGTATATTTATTGTAAAACAGGATCAACTTACAAAAATATAAAAGAATAATTATGTTACAAATAGTATCATCTTTAGTATTAAAGCTTTGTTTCTTTTTTTGTAAATGTTTTTATGGCTCTGGATAAGAGTCCTTTTCATTTTACTTTATTAAAGCTACTAGCTTTCCGCCCGCAGCTTCGCCCGCTTGGAGTTCGGTTATATCGCGTTTCCAAGAGAACCTTTCAAAAGTCTTTGATAAAAACTATCCTATGTTCTTTCTCAATGTTAACTCTATCTCTTTACCAAATTTCATTAAAATCCGTTCAGTGATTTAGGCGTGTGCAGCGTAACAGACAGACAGACAGAGTTACTTTCGCATTTATAATATTAATAGAGATTAATAAGGGTTGTAATATATGTATCTCATCTTTACAGAGTCTGCCGGAGCAATGGCAGTGTTACTTCCTATGTGAGACAAGAGGTTTGGATGGTTGTATGGTGACCAGTGTTCCCTTCACTCACCCAAGTCACGTGCCACCCCTACTGTCTATACTGAGGCAGCAGGCGCTGTTCAACGCGTTACTAGCTAGCTGCGTCAGGCTGCAAACTAAACAAGGTCATTTATAGTTAAGGCTAACAAACTAGCGATATACCAATTATTATCAGTCCATATGGCAAAATATAGATTGTTAACATTTCGACATATGCCTACTACCAATTATTAAGTTATTTGAACTATACATACGAGTAATTGTTTACAGGTAAACAGCTGTTATTGTCTGTCGTTCCATATTTTATATGATAGGATTAAATTTAGAGACGATTCTCTTATTTTTGTATTATTCTTAATAGTACTCAATTAAATCTCTTGATCAAACAGATAGGTTACTCTTGAACTTTGTTATTCTAACACATAGATTATATTTACATATATGTAGCTTAGTGGTATTAATTTATCGGTTAAATTGGTAGCATATATGATAACATAGGTATATTCTCCATTAATACTGTTAAAATCCCTCTCACAGTGCATCGATGAGTCATTAATTTTATTTCTATCTCAACAGTGATGGAGTTGGAAAGCGTCCTAATGTTCGAAGTGAGCGCCCTCTCTTGGCAGCATATCTCAATATCTCTGGAGCACCCTGTAGATGAGAGTATGGCTACAGTAGAACTTGATCTAGCTGATCCAGCGGCACCCCGCGCCTCACTCTACACCCTCAATTCACCTCCCAGAGATCATATAGATGATTATATAACGAAAGTACTTCAGAAGAGTCACTCTATACCAGTGACGTTAAGGTATATTTCAACTTCAATCCCATCCATGTGATATCCTAGTAGTCCCAGGTTCGAATTCTGGTACAATGAACCTGACGCTATATAAATAACTGTGTTAATGTTGCTTTAAAAATAACATTTATAGATATACTAATTGTTATCATATTCAACGACCAATATTAAATGTACTATTTTATGTTGAAGGTGATAGTTGGAAGTTTTTATTATAAGTCCAGTTTTGCGACTATACTCAATAATGTAAATATATATTCAGTTCAAAATGTATTAATTTTGTTTAAAAAAATTAAGAGTGTGAAAGTTATTTACTCGTTGGATGACAGAGTTATTTTCATATAACATTTTCAGGTCACTTATAAAAATATGGGAACGTGAACGAGCTACGAAGCAGATAAATGGCAGCTACTCCGCCTTGGAGTCAAATTTTAGCTGTGGCCTGGGGGGCATCGACCCCGGGGGTGACGTTAAACACGAACCAGGCAATATGCATGGCCGGGCTATGTACCCTGCCAATGTTAGCCACCCACATCAAGGAGGTTAGTTGCCATGAACCTCTTTCAATCATAATAATGTTCTTTATCACCATATGAATTCATCGCCAACACTTCTGAAAGTACCCCTCCAAAGAATTCGAAGCAAACTAGTGTTAGAACCTGTCGGGTTAGAAAATGATGTTTGTAAATAATGGAATATAAGTTTCTTATCTCTTTCTGCCATTAATACCATCATAATAGTTAATTTTGTACAAAACTTTATATTCCTTGGGCTATAAATGAAGGGGTTTGTAATTTTTTTCTTTGTATAGTTGTTGGTATACTTCTGCGACTATTATTTGTCTTAATTGCAAAGTACTAACTAAAAAAATTCATCTTGTTAATAGGCACCTATCTTTCGGAACAACAACACCACTTGTCTATGATGTGTCAAGACAATCCCAGCGATCTAAAACCCGCTAGTTCAGAAGAGCGGAAATCAAAAAAGCGTAAAGTAGAGCCGGGTTTGTGGCCGTCTGGACAAAAAAAGGGTAAACCTGGTATGAATGATATGATGGATTCTGACAGCGAGAGTGATAATTCAGATGGTTACGGCAACGAAGATGATACTATGAACAGTAATTCAACAAATGATGACATAGAGGGTCCGTCATCGGTTTCTCAGAATGAATTCGCGTCAGACTTGGAGTTGTATGGTATGGACACTCCAGACGCTCTCGCTGGACAAGAAAATAGAACTTCATCTGATATGGACAACTCTAACGACGGTGATGTTGAAGATATAATCAGGTATTGTACATATAATCTGATATTCATTATAATTTGAAATTATGTCAACTTAATAAAAAAATTCCTTACAGGAATTCTTTTCACAAGTCTGAGCACAAAAGGCAAAAACTTAAAAGCAAAGATTCGGAGTCTAGAAGGAGTACGTCGTCGTTATTATTGGACCTGACTGAAGGAAAGTCGTATATGCCTTCCTCTGTAAGCATAACTCCTATAGGATCAACTTCATCGAACCCGCCCAGCTCGGGATCCGGGTCCAATATATCATCAATGTTATGTCTCGATAGAAGACCCGGTATAGAAATCATACCGATAACAGCAGCTCCACCGGCTGCTTTGCCCAGTTCTATAACTATCACGCCAATAACATCTTCGCAGATAAAATCACTCGATGATAGAATGAGATCCGACAAAAAGTCAAGCAGATCAGGCGAGGAACGTAGTAAAGAAAAGAAAAAGAAGAGGCGTCGAGACGACTCTATGGGCCCACCAGAAAAGATCCCTCCCAAACAAGATCCTTTAACCAAACCTGTATCCGTAAGTATTAAACCAACAGACGGTTCCCCAATGCGTCCGACTTCCCCAAACTCCATCTTGAGAAAATTTAGTCCAAGTCCCACTCAAGGTAGGTCCGTATCTATCTCCAAATCCCCAAGTCCCAGTAGTGTTAAGGGCATGGGAAAACCATCAGGTACGTCCAGCCACCACAGTAGTCCTAGACACTCACCGGTACAAAACAGTCCAAAACATTTAACAGGGTATTCGAGTCCAAAAAACCACAGTATTTCGTCACCCAAACATAGTTCGTCTGGGTCGGGAAAACCTAGTATGTCAACTTTAAAATCTGCGACTAGCGGCTCCCCTTCCGGGAAATCCAGTGCGACGGGATACGACCTGTCAAAAAAGTTATCTAAAGATAGTTACGGTTCCAGTTCGACTACCTCTCGCGATAAAGAAAAGAAACATTCCAGTTTATCTTTTTCCAGTTCCGATAGAAGCAGTCCCAAATTAAAAAACCCAATGAAATTGAAACAGTTAGAAATAACTCCGGTCTCTTGTGATAGTCCCGTAACAGAGCCTTTGATATCCCCGTCTAACATAGAAGTTAATAAATCTAACGCTCCAAGCCAAGCCCGAAACAGGAAAGGTTCTCTCAGTGCGGTAATTGATAAGTTAAAATCTGCTCAACACTGTGGTGCAGAATCAGAGATTACCATAAAATCAAGTTCAAGTAGTAGTAGTAAATTTTCAGATCCAAAAAGCAGTTCTAGTAATGTTAAAATAAATGAGAGTAAAAATCAAGAATATATGGTAAAACCCAGTCTCGATGGTATGAAGATAACAATTAACAAAACACGATCAAAAGAATCATCAAGTAGTAGTTCAAAGCTAAATTATTCGAGCTCAAGTTCTAGTAAACAGTCATCACCCCAACTCACTCCGCCCAGCCAAGGTTCGCCAAAAACTCACACTGGTCTGAAACCCGGTGTAATAAGTGGACCGGCTTCAAAAAAGACTCAAGTTATGCAGTCATCCAAATCTGCTAGCATAGCATCAGGCTCCACACCTACTAAAGCCAATTTGAGTCCATCCGAGCAGTCCGGCTCTAATAGCAACAATACTCAAAAAGTGCCTTATACCAAATCAAGTAGCAGTTCCACTGGCATCAACTTATCTTCGAAATCGGTATCAAAAAGTTCTGGTTCCCCAAAAAGCACTAGCTCAGATCTTGCTAAAATCATGAAAGAACGTGAAAAAGCTAGAACAAAATTTCTTAGCAATTCCGAAAAATCTATATTTACTTCAAAATCTGAGCGTCACTCGAGCCCAAGTAGTTCTAGAGATGATGTAGACGGTGACAGATTTAAAAATTCTAAAGATGCCAATTTCCTAGTCGAAGGTTTAATGAAGCCACTTGATACTAGTAAATTTCAAATACCCAAATTGAAAAATCAAAATACTCCCGATAAAAACAGTCCCGTATCTCAGTACGACAGTCGTTCCATGGTTAACGATTTTTCCCGATCTGTAGATCAAAGTAAATATCCCTTTCCCCACTACGATAACTCGAACAGGAATATAGATACTCTTCAAAAATCAGTATATCCCCTCAACGTGCCGAAACCTTTATTAAACATGGGTGGTATAAGCCCGAAAACTATAGTGGCTGGTAAAAGTGACCAATCAGAGTATTCCAAAGCGATGTCAGATAGCATAGCGAAAGGAGAGAGTCCGCAACGCATTAAAGATGAAGTGAAAGAGGGTTATTCGGGTGCATACCCATTGATGCCGTTAGATTTTAAAACGGATATGGCCAAGGGGTTTCCAGCGCCGAAGGGAAGTTCGGAGGATAGGAAAGGCGCGGATTCTTGTATGAAGCCACCAGCTAGTGGGACGGTGGCTCGTAGTGGGGCTACAACACCTCAGGAAGCTGCAGAAATGTTATTAGACTTCTCTTCGTCGTCTGGTAGTAAAGTATCGGGTGTGGTGTCCGTCCGTCCAGTGTACCCGGCCTCGCCAGCCTTATTACAATTAGCGAAGAGCCCTGCATCATCACCTCTAGTAGCTCCTTCCCCACATTCCAATTCTCCTTGCATCACCGACGACGAACTCATGGACGAAGCTCTGGTGGGCCCCGGGAAATAAATCGTGTATACCTTAATATAATTGTTACTTAAATATTCATAACGTATATTACATACCCATGGGCCATGAGTCTCTTAAATATTGTATTTTTATATACATATATGTATTTGTACGTTGATATTTTAATTGTGATCGACTTAATATTTCACATTACCATAAATGATGTTTAGGTACGTTCAATTAAATCTAAACGCAACAACAAATATTCTTTTCGTTTCCACGTTTTCACATATCGGTGCCTTAGCTAACCAAAAATGTCTCTAGTGATGATCACTCGAGACATCGTTTTGTTATTATATAAACCTCATAATCTTCTACTATTTGAATACATACTTCAATAAATATCTTTAAAAATAGATATTCCATTGAAATTGTCAAAAAGTTGCTACAATATTATGTTCTTCAATCGTTATCTATAAGGACCAGCCACAATACATTAAATTATAATTTGGTATACTTATTAAGTTTAATATCGACTTAGTTTTTAAATTTCCTCTATATAAGATATTATGAATTTATTGTTATGATAATTATTATTATAACCAAGTTTTCTCTATTATTGTATTTAAAATTGTCACATTATGCGCTAGGTGTGATACTTAATTGTAAAAAAAGAATAATGTTTTTTCTAAATGCCATTGAAATTGTTATTGAAAAGTACCTACGTATTGTGTTCTATATTTTATTAATAATTGGTAAGCGAATAATTATATACAAATAAGTTATTACTATCTTTGTAAATAAATTGTATACTTAAAATTATTTTTAAGGAATCGGTCGATGAGGCATTTATATGCGAATAGATTAAAAATATCAATAAATGTATTAAAACATCGTGAAAATTTGTTTATATTTTATTTCCTCCTCTAAATATATTATAATTCTTAGTGATTTAAGTTAGTAAAATCGTAGAGAGCTTGGACGATAATATTGGTAGTAGGGATAAAAGTAAAATCTTCTATAAGGATTGTAGTTATACGGTCTTCTATAAAACCTTCTTTTTGCTTGCAAGTTGGGATATCTTTTGCGGTTTTTCTGGTGTCGCCTAAAAATCGGAATGGGCACAAATCCGGAGGCAGTGTCCATTAATTCGTTTGGATCTTTGTTTACGATGTCACTGAAGAAATAGTCTTCTTCCTGCATAGGAACGTACTCGTCATCATAATTCATAACATTATTTCCCTGAATATCAAACAGTAATGATTCCTGTAGATCAAAAGGTGCCTCAGTGTTTGTTGTGTCAACGCTTTCTTCAATAACAATATTCACAAATTCGTCGTTATTTTGTTGCTGTTTCTGTAATGATTCAACGCTTATATTATTTACATTCTTTTGTTCTGTTTCATTATTGTTTTCATGTTCTTCTTTGTGATTGGTCCCTGAGTCATTACTTTCTGACAATAGTAATTTCTTATCGCCATCTTGTATTAAGACAGATTCCGCGACAACGCTACCGAGACCCAATGCAAGCAATAAAATTATATGATTTTTCATTTCTTCTGTAAGAAAACGTATTGATTGAAGTTAAAACTGTACTGTAATATTTTGAGAGGATAGACCTTTATATTATATTCAAGTAGGCCAAAGAAAGCATAACGTTATTTATAACATAAATATTTAAGTTCCTAATTAGAGGTGGTGTACGCTTGACCTACTATTTGACCTTTTGGTGTCAATTTTATTTGACCCAAATTCTTATATACTGTGATAAATATACATAAAGAAATGAAGTAAATTCTGCCTTATTTCTAATCAAACAAAGTTACTTACTTAATGATTGCATTTCACGTATCCTCTACTAGTTTGATATCTTCTTTGCGCTTGATTGCCTCGTCTCTGTGCTCTAAATCTCTCATTCCTTTCTCTTAACTTCCTCATAGCAAAACGCGGTAGAAATGGGTTCTGAGATTCAGCCGTCTCCATCATCTCCTCTCCTGATATTTTTGACAGCGAATCATTCTCGACGGGCTTCGATAGAACGTTAACAAAAAACATTAGAGAAATCAATATGAAAACACTAAATAGTTTAAAACTTAAAGCCATTGTACAATATGTATAAATATTCTAATTGAATGAAATGAGTACGGAAACTGCGAAGTTTAATCCGTGTTTAAACCGAGAGGTCTCGGTGTCGCATTTTATAGGATAAATCATGACACTGGTGACACACATGTATTTGTTTACAATATGAATGTGTTTTAGGAAATGTAACGGACCATAAAGACTTCCAATTATCGCGTCCCGGTTCGTATTTATAGTCCGATCCTGAAATTTTGAAACGGTAAAATGATTCATAGTTGATAAATTCATATTATTTGACTGTATAATATTAATATTTGAATCTCTTAAGTACCTACTGTTTTCGTTTGTTACATAAAATAAATGTTTCGTAATTTCTAAGATCTAGTACAAATTGACAATACTTATATATGAACAAACTAACAACCTAATTTAAAACTTAACTATGAATTGAAATTATATTTGGTGTTACAATAACTAACTGTAACAGCGTATTGAGTCATAAATAAACGTTGATAAGCATGCCATTACCTATGTATCCTTTATTAAGCCAAATAAACGGTTTCTCTGAAATAAACAATTAGATCAAGTTTTCTTTGAAATGTTCACTAAAATAAACGCTATGATCATTCGGTTTTACGACATAAAATACCTCGATAATCAATGTTTAAAATTCTTAAATTAACGGAAAAATTGCTGAATTTAAAAATTAAAAATGCATTGAAAAATCGAAGAATATAGCATGACTGGATAATATACTGATAACGTCACTACAAATCAAGTGTATCGAGGATTCTTAAAAGATAAGTTTACTGAAGTATCAATTGTTATAATAAATAAACCCAGACTAGTTCAACTTTGATTTACAAACGGGTTTTTGAACGATATAAATAAAATGTGTTTCCAAATACTATATCACTTAATTATATCAAGTCTATTTTAAGAATAAAAGAATAAATGTCATCTGGTCATTTAATGATGTTAAAAATAAAAATGCTTTTTTTAACGACAAACTACGTCCTACTCTATTTAGGCAATGATTAGTAGGTACATACTCTTCAGTCGAAACAATATTTAATTATATACCTATCACGAATTTGACACATAAAAATAACATTTATTCAGAAAAGTAATGAGAAAATCAAAACAAATATTAATCGGAATACATTTTGACTGGGCAGAAAAAAAATATCAGTCTCTTGGTAACTTCACTGGTAAGACATTTAATTAAGTGATAACCTTTGCTCATGACGTCAGTTCTTACTTAATAGATTAAATTCAGTAGAAAGCAAAGAAATACTAAACGGTAAACCTATACATTATTAGATATACAAAAGTTTCACCTTACAAACGTCTACATAATATGTGACGACTTAGAGTCAACTGTCAATTATAACATTTGTAAGATAGAATAAAATTAAAATGTTCCACGATTTTAGTGTAAATGAAGCCATAGCGTAAAAGAAATGTAAAAACCGGAACAATGGAAGTCTGACTGCAATCAGCGGTTTTCGTACTGAAAAACAGAGTAATCGGTAAAGTTAAATTGTATTATAAATACGGTTGTTACAATATAAAGTAACCAATGATTAATAAACATTCATCCAACGACAATGTATTTGTAATGAGAGCCAAATTTTACTGAGTCTTATAAAAACTTGCCGTATAATCATTATATGTCACAATTAATTTAAGAACTGCAAATAATATTTATCGTACTAAATTGAGTATGTTTCATAAAATCATTCAATATATAATTATTAATTAATTCCATGACTAAGTCCAAATATTTTGAATGATAATTTTTATTTGTCAAATTCCTTATAGCTTCAAACAATTTTTCCTATTTAAATTAGTAAAAAAACATCGTGAATTATTTATTATTTGACCTAAAACTTCAAATTTGAATTCGATTTAACTGACTTAAACAATAGTGGTTTTAACTGAACCTTACACTTACTTTCCAAAAAAGAAAAAAAGAAAAGTTTGTATGATAGTACCTAAGTATATGAAATCTATGATTTTCGCGAGTACTCATTTAAATGAAACTAATATTTAAATGAAACTAATATTAGACGAGAACATCTCATCTGCCCGTGATCACGGTTGCTGAAAAGTAGCCGAAACGTCGGGAGTATGTAGTTCTAATCAAAAATAAAACGCGAAGTAAAATCCGAAAAATATTAGTTTCATTTAAGTATATGAAGTTTCAGTAATGCAACTTACAGCTTAATAACTTTACCTAGAAAAAAAGTTTTTCTTTCAAAAACTACAAAATAATTTTCTTCTTTGTGTAGATAAGACACAGTTCGCTTTTTTTACATCTATCTAAATATGTTTCACGTTTTATAAATAAACTTATTGGCATCTTCGCAAAATATTACGCAACATATTCTACTGAATAAAATTTAATACACCAAAGTGGTCAAATGTGTATGTTAATTATACTGAAAACCAAAACTCATCGTGATTCAGTTAATATAATTTTGTAAAAATTATGTATACGTTTTTCATTTAAAAATTTAACGTTACAAATTTGGCTCTAAATTTCTATTCAAGTGTTTCAAAACTAATTTAATTGCGTTTTTATTTTAAATACGCTATGTAATGATTTTACTTCTTTTTTTTAAATCACCACATTTCCAAATGTAGAATATTCATATCGGAGTTTATTATTTGTCCACTTATTACAAGATATGATGATATATCATAATATATGTAGTTAATGCTGTTGAAAAGATTCGATGCTATTTTTTCAGTTTTAATGAACCTCAGAATTAACTATTTCTTATCCTAACACTAACAGCTCATGTAAGGTCACTTTTTTTTGGTAAAAATGCCTTACGCATCCCCTTTCCGTCGAGGAACGAAGAGGGGTATGTGGGACTCCCCATGAAAAAGGTTCCCGGTATACCCACTAAAAAACCCAGTGGCGCTCCGACCTCGCCTGACTGACTGGGAGCTGGGAATCCGGTTTACATTCAGCCCTGTATATTTATCTACCTTCATATCTGATCAAGTAAACTGTCAAATATTAAGACATCTCTTACGTTATATTTTCACGGCCCTTTTATACAAAACATTTGTACAAGACCTTTTCAAGTTATCGCGTTAATCCTGTTATCACAAGGCCATGGTTTTATTAATCAAAGTCATTGATACACTTGAAACAGTCAATTCTCTTAATGTCCCATGGACAATTTAAAATGTTGAAGGTAATGTCCTTATTGTCCTTATTTTATAATACATAATACCGAATCATTCCGAAAATAAATTGTAGCGATGGCCATTTCGTTCTATGTAATACTGTCAATTGAATGTAAAGCAACCAATGAAAAAACTACAACATAAATTTATACGTAGGGAAGAAATGATATTTCGTTGTAAAATTTTTCACTAAAAGTAATAAAATATATACGATACAAACACCAAAAACGCGATTATTAATATTTTATTTGTCTACTTGTTTCGGCTCATCCTTACAATGACTTAACCGATTTTGAAGGAAATTTCATTCATATCTAGGTAATGTCATAAGGAATAATTCAAGCTACTTTTTAACAAACATCAATAATAAGAAAGTTGTTTTAATTTAATCGAATATTGGTCACCCTATTGCTTTTTATATAAATATTATAAATCTTATGAAACTACCAGATCAAAGTACTTCAAAGAATATTTTACGGGCTCCGCCCTCTTTTAGTAAGTATTTTTAGCCAAGTTCACACGATACGTACTATATACGAAGCGTTTGCCAATTCTCATTTCCTTATCTACATTAATATTTCATACTACGAAGTGACCAGTTTATAAAAGTTAGAGCGAAAATAATCAGTATATAGTGTGTGCAAAACTCATGGTATACTTACTGTACCTACATTCAAAATGGCCGAAATTCAAAAATAACAAAACTTTGTTTCAATATTAGCAAAACATTGCGCAATATTATGCCACGTATAAAATATGAAAACGATATGTTTGTTACAAACAATTTGTTGAATATGTATATTAATTAAATATTATATTTATTTGCTTATTTTCTAAGCGACATTTTATTTCTTATTACGTCAAGTCACTTGATATTGTGTCATAACTAGTCAGATACAGGCAAATCTAGCGACAAGCTTTTATAAAATTTAAATTGTGTAATAGGTACATAGTACTTTATTGATAAGGATGATTAAATTAATAGGTTATTTTCATATTTTAAATCAATTAATAAAATGGTTTGTAGTTATTTATTTGTAAGTCTTCATTTAATTGTAACATGGTCGTTTTCCCGTTAGTCTAATTATTTCATCTATTGTTCTCAATCTTCTTTTAATTATCTGTACCTCTGACCTTTAACGTTTGGTTCCCATACTGTAGTAATGCATAAAATAATGCCTGGCATCTTAAATTGTTCACCATGTTGGATTTGACATGGTAATTTTCGTGTTTTTCTTGCTAAGATCTTTCATTTTATATGCATATTCCATTAGTTCCCAAGAAACAACTAGTCTTCCATATTGCATAACCCGCTATAGTAAATTTAATGTGACATCTTACTATTTTTTGCGTTCAACTTAGCAAATTTTTATTTGATATCCATATTTTGGTAGTGTAGAAAACATAACAAGTCTGCCATATTGAATAATGCGCTATATTGTACTTAGAATGACATCAGATAGTTAAACATGCAACGTCATTTAAATTAAGCATGTTTACAAAATTTCAGCTATATATTTTAAAAATAAGTGTTAAGTTGCAAGATTCCATTGAGATAAACATATTATATACATTGCAAGTTAATTTGAAATTTGTGATTAATGAAAATAATACGTTATGATCTAAACATATTATCTACTTGTTAGAAAAACTTCTTGCATACGTATAAATTGTGATTTAAGTATCTTGTCATAAATGTT